ACTTGTTATAAAACAAACCATAATTTTTAGTACTAGATAAATATCTGATAATTCTTTCCATGGCTAGCCAATGATCACGACTTGGCTTGCTAGTAAATTTGCTAAGTACTCCAACAACATATGCAATGTCAGGTCTAGACAGTCAGTAGCATATCTCAAACTATCAATCATGCTAGCATATTCTTTTTGATTAATCACTTCTTTTTCATTTGTGACAATAGATAAATGTATGCTTGCATCAAAAGGAGTAGCAACATGTTTACAGTCTAGAAAGTTATATTTCTTTAAAAGTTTCTCAATATAATGTGACTGATCAAGAAAAATGCCATCATTAGTCTTTGTAATTTTAATTCCCAAAATAAAATTGGTTTACCAAGATCTTTCATATCAAAGTGGCCATTAAACATATTTTTAGTCTCATTTGTAATATGCAAATTAGAGTAAAAAATAAGTAGATCATCCACATATAGGTTAATAATAACATGTGCATTCTCACAAGTTTTATAATATATGCACTTATCACATTCATTAGTCTTATAGCCATTATCAAGCATGCATGAATCAAATTTCTCATGCCACTGTTTAGGAGCTTGTTTAAACCATAAAGAGATTCAGTTAGCTTACACACTTTGCTTTCTTAGCCAGGCTCCACAAAGCCCTCAGGGTTGTTCCATGTAAATCTCCTTATCTAGATCTCCATTTAAAAATGTTGTTTTCACATCCATTTGATGAATTTTTAAATCATGAATTGCAGCTACTGCTATCAACAGTCTAACGGATGTAACTCTAGTAACCGGAGAAAAAGTATCAAAGAAATCAAGATCAACTTGTTGCTTAAAACCTTTAGCGACAAATCTCGCTTTATATTTATCTATAGTTCCATCCAGTTTAAGTTTTTTTATGAAGGACCCATTTACACCCAATAGTTTTACAACATGGAGGTAAATCCACTGGCTTCCATGTTTTATTTGAAAGTAGTGAATCTATCTCATTATTTATAGCCTCTCTCCAGAAAATAGTATCAGGTGATGATAAAGCTTCTCTTATCGTTAGAGGAATTTCTTCTACATTGTAAATGTTATTGATTGTTCTGATTAGATTCCATGTGTTAGTGTTGTTGATTATTTGTTGTGGTTTTAATAAATACGGGAACATATTGATAGGAATGATGAAAGTTCTATATTGAGATTCCGCTTTCCTTCGGTTAGCACCTTGTAAAGCGTAGTGCTTTCACATAGGTGTCGATTTCATTTCGGTTTGCACATGGTAAAAATCCTGTGATATCAAATGATATAGAAGGTCCGTTTCTTTTTGACTTGTGACCGGTAAAGTGTGGCACATTGACATAGGTTCCACTTTTCTTCCGGTTTGCTCCTAGTAAAGCATATGGATTATTGGGCTATATGGAGGTTCTGCTTTCCTTTCGGCTAGCCACCGGTAAAGTGTGGCACTTTGAGATAGGTTTTAATTTCCTCCCAGTTAGCGCCCGGTAAATTGTGTTGGAATGGTTTTGCCGAAGATGGGTTGTGAAATTTCATAGTGTTCGCTTGTAAAAATGTGTGTACATATGAAATTGTGATAAATGATCAAGTAAGTAGTTTAAATAGTGTTGAAAAGAATTTGATTTATAACCTGTTATCCTAAGTGATGAAAGTTAGACTTGTTAATGGTTGTAAATGTTAATAGTCATCTATATTTGTGAGATGTTGGGTTTGTTCATGTGTGTAAGGCTTTCAAATTGTAATACAGGTTGGAAACATTTTTGAGAAGATAATTACTTAATTGGAAGGAGTTTTTTCTTAAATTGTTAAAGATGACTTCTTTTGAGAAAGTAAATGTACGTATGTAAATACTTTGGATATGAAAAGATATCATCATACATATAGATATCTATATAATAAGGGAGAAGAGTTTTTGAAAATGTCTAATTTGTCTTAGAGATATATTTTGATCCAATGGTTTAAATTACCTCATCTAAATTTCAATGGTTAGGATGTCTTTATTTCCTGCCCAAATGCTCTTTGAGCATCAACGGTTGAAATCTCTCTCTCTCCTCTTTGTCACAGGTACTCATCTTCTCTCTCTATGATTTCAATTTTTGAACACACACACACTCTCTCTTTCTATAAATATATATACCGTGCGACGACCACAGACCATCGCGATGCTGACGACCACCAACCACCTCTCCTCATTGTGTCATCCTCTCTCGACGACACCACCGGCAACCTCCTCTCCTCTCACCCTCCTCTTTCGGCTCTTTCCTCTTGCAAGGTAAACTAGAACTTTCAACTTTTGTGGGTTTGGCTGTTCCTGATTTCTGACATGTGGGTGTTTGGTTGGGTTGATCTTAAAATGAGAAATGAGTTTTGAAAGTTTAAATTTAAGTTTCTTATTTAAATGGTTGTTTCTGATTTCTGACATGTGGGTTGATCTTCCAACTTAAATGAGTTTTTGATTTTTGAGTTTTGTTTCTTAAATGGATTTAAATTTAAATTTTTTGAAAGTTTGGGGTCTGAAATGGGTTTCATTTGTATTAAGGCTAGGAGGATCTGGTGAATATTGAATCGGATATGGAGACATTGTTCTCTGCTGCAGTGATATAGACCCGAAACCTGAAAAGGGTTTCACTTGATAGTCCAGTGTATAAATGGGTTTCACTTGATTTTGTATAGTCCAGTGTATATATACATGTATGTATAGTCCAGTGTATAAATGGGTTTCACATGATTTTGTGGGTTTGAAGAACATGTGGATTTTCTTTATAAAACAGTGAATGAAAGGAAACCTGATTTCACCTGATAAAACAGTGATTGATCATGTGTATGAAACAGTGATTGAAAAACAGTGAAGAAATACCAAGTGAAAGCCATTTATTCTATATAAAAAAAGGAACCCATTTATTCCATTTGTAGCTCTGTTTTTGTATAAATTTAAGTTTCTTATTTAAATGGAATAATAGGAAAATCAAGTGGATGAAAGGAAAACAGTGAAGAACATTAAATTTAATGAAACCCATTTATGCCATTTGTAGCTCTATTTTTGTATATATTCTAATAATCAATCACTATTTTTTAATCATTGAATCATAGTTTGAAGAACACAAAAATAGAACTGAAGCAACAAAAACAGAGCTACAAATTAATGTTGCAATGATGGAGATTGGCCCATTGATTTGACTAAAATGCCGTTCTAATTTTGATAAATTCCACAATTTTGCAGGTATGGTATTAATAATCATAGGTATTTTAAATGCCGTTCTAGCGTATGCCCGTACCTAAAGGTTTAATTACATATATATTAAAGCAAGGCTAGCACCGATTTGGACCCACCGTTCGGTCCTAGCCTTGCTATTAATATAACAAAGGGGTTATTAATATATATGATTTGGACCAAATTATGGTACCCTTCTCCCTTAATATATACCATAACCAAATTATTAATCATATTTCATCATTAAAAATACCAAATTATGGTATTCTTAAAAATACCATAATCGGTGCTAGCCTTGCTATTAATATAACAAAGGGATGGTATGCTTGAAGAATCATATATATTAATAAAAATGCTTAAAGTAGAACGACATCGCGGCAACAAATCGGTGAGGTTCTCCAAAATCTTGACCATATTTGTTCATTCCTCATGAGGCTCTCCAAAAAATTTTGTAAGGTGTTTTGTAAGGTTTTTTTTTTTGTTGTGTATATATTGTTAGGTTTTTATTCTTGGCAATCCCGTTTGACAAAACTCCTTTTAGTTGTACTTATTTTTGCACTTTTTATTTCAGTGAGGCTATGAGTTTTTAGATGCGAATCCAACCCAAATTATGCCTTGCAAAGAAGTTTATGATGTTAATACTTTCAAGATTGCCACTTCGCTGATTATGACGGGGGTCGAGCTGCCCGGTCAGCTCGCAAGGGTCGAGGGGGCAGCGCCCCCAAAGCAAAACGCAAAATTGCATTCGAAGTTGTATGTCCACCCTTGCTCGCTCGAGCGAAGGAGTTCTCGCTCGAGCGAAGGCTGCGTCTGGCAAAAAACCTGAGAAGGATGAATGTACGCTCGAACACAGGTTGCGTGGCTCGAGCGAAGCCACTTATGGAAAACACACGTTTTTGGTTCCTCGCTCGAGCGAGAGAGTCTTCGCTCGAGCGAGCTTCGCAGTCTCAGATTTCTATAAGTACGTGTTTCTGTCAGATTTTAGGATTACTCCTCCAGATCTTCTAAGCAAAATGCAAAATTGCATTCGAAGTTGTATGTCCACCCTTGCTCGCTCGAGCGAAGGAGTTCTCGCTCGAGCGAAGGCTGCGTCTGGCAAAAAACCTGAGAAGGATGAATGTACGCTCGAGCACAGGTTGCGTGGCTTGAGCGAAGCCACTTATGGAAAACACACGTTTTTGGTTCCTCGCTCGATCGAGAGAGTCTTCGCTCGAGCGAGCTTCCCAGTCCCAGATTTCTATAAGTACGTGTTTCTGTCAGATTTTAGGATTACTCCTCCAGATCTTCTTTTTGGATATTAAGGTTTATATCTGGGGATATTTTACTACTTTTCTTTGATGTTTAATTGAGTATTCAACTCATGGGTTAAGAAGAATACATCAAAGGTTTGTTTATTCATTCTATACAAAAGAGAGAGTTGTTCTTCAGTGGATTCTGAAGAATTTGAGCCTGAAACTTTGGTGGATTCTGGAGTGGCTCATCGTCAAGACAATTCCGAGGTGAAGACAGTGCTGGAAGAGACACATAGAGGTTGGTTCAATTCGTGGCGTGGATTCGCTAGGTAATTGAGAGTATACCTATGTAATTCCTTTATATCTTCTTAGTGGATTGTTTTGTGGCTGTTGCCCGCGATTTTTTTATCACAATTGGAGGTGCTCCAATTGTCCTTTTTCTACGTTAAAATCGTTTTGTTGATTTGTCTTGATTGTTTGATTGGGATTGTTTTATTGCTTTGAATTGTTACATAATCACAAATCAATATCTAGCGGTTTTCTAGATTTTTCAACATCAATCTTAACTGTCACTCGTCCTGTCACTGTCCAATCATGTCACGCCCTCAAAATAAACCCATTATATATACATCATTGACATGCAATATTAAAAGAAAACAATTCATTATCCCATTCATCAGAGTATTATTAAATAAACAATTATACAATGACAGAATCTACGGAACCTAAGTCCGGATACAATAATCAAATGGAAAAAGACCGGGGTCGCTATAAATCATATGCAAGATTAGAATTTTCAACGACTGACTTCAAAATTTTGGATTTAAAAATTATGTACTACAAAATTGCACGAATTTCGAAAATATATGTTTAAAAGATTTTACTTTAACGAAAAAGACCAATATTTCAACATTAAGCCCCAGTTTGGCATTCTTACTTGGGCTAAATAAGTACATAAGGACAAAAAAGAGCAACAAAATCACAAAATGTCAAAAAAGTTGAGTTGGGATGCAAAATTACCAAAATGGCCCATATGCAAACAAAAAGTCAAAAAAGCATCATTCTAAAGTGGTGGGCAATTTTGTCATTCCAATGCCAAAAAGTCAAAAAAAGCCGAATAAAAAAACTAAACAAACAAAAAAGTTCTCAGCTAAAAAAGTCAAAAAAGTCAAAAAACTAATTAAAAAAGTCATTGCCAAACGACCCCTAAAGCCAATAGTGCCTCTTTTATGTGAGGCAAATTCTACAGTGTGAAAATGAATATTTTCAAAGGTTATGATTCAATGTTATCAAATTTATGACATCAAGTACATTGAGTCATAACTCTTATGCAAATCATAGGAGTTGCACACCATGGATTGGCCCCTTCTCTGAACAAAATAAGAACGAGATATTTGAACGCTAGGATTTGATGATAAATCTAATGGCAACCATAAATAGAGAAGATCATTGGAAAACCCATAACACATTGAACATTCAAAAAGTAAGAATCATTCCACCTAACAATTCAGCCCCCCAAAATGTGGTAATTCGTCATTTACATAGACAAATAGACTCGTCAAACAAATATGTTATAATAAGTTCCAAATAATGATATTCTGCTCCAACAATGATTAGATTAATTTGTTGAAAATGCAAAAAGCACTACAAACACATTTCACGGACAACAAAAATTAATGCAGCATGTACTATCTTACTAGGGTTTTATATATTATCTAAAGTACAACATATCATAAAAGGGTTAAATGCAATGTCACTAAAGAAGAAAGGCTTAAAAGCCAATTTTCTTTTGTTTTACGGTCCATCCTACAACCATACATAAGTTAAGCTAGTACGCACCTGAATGTCAAACCATAGAAACATAATAATTAAAGATAATAGTACGTATTGATGCTTGCAAAATGTCCAAAACTGAAAATTCTAAACATCAACGATAAGAAAATGGAGGAGACTATCTAATTAGAAGGAACAACCATCTGGATCCCAAAATTGTGACATGGATCCATCGACTTTGTCAGTGTAATTAAATCATTCTCTCTAAAATTTGTAGTGTTGGTTGCAATATGTGAGCAATGTTCAATTTAGAAAAGAGTACCTGCATATTCTGGTGTGAGATACCCAAAAGTTCCAGCTAGTTTAGTTAGAACTGAAGAATTTTCATCTGGTGCAAGACGAACAAATCCAAAATCGGCAACTTTAGCATGCATATCAGCTCCTAGGAGAATGTTGGATGGTTTGAGATCCCTATGAATAAAACCTAAACCATGCAGATACTCAACGCCTTTGGCCACATCCAGAGCAACAGTCAATCTTTCCCACCATTCAAGGGCTTTCAACCCTTCTTCATTCCATCTAAACAAATGCCTGCTAATAGTCCCTTGAGGCATGTATTCATAAACAAGTAGCGTCTCATTACCATCCAAACAATATCCTAAAAGACAAACTAAATGCCTATGTCGAACCTTACTAAGCACAACAATCTCAGACTTGAATTGATCCCAAACCCTCTCATTGACCAGTCCAGACTCCATTCTTTTAACAACAATCTTAGTCCCATCATGCAACTCCCCTTTGTAAACAGTTCCGAATCCACCAGTTCCTAATATGCTCTGTTTGCTAAAATTGTTAGTCGCACTCTTTAAAACATGAATAGAAATTGCCAAACGTCCAACTTCAATAACATGAAAATCACTAGAATGCTTTCGTTTACAACAATATAGGCAATATATCAAAATCCCAACCAATAAAACTACAAAACACCCCCAATTACGAGACCCACAATCACTTCAATCAAGAATCTATTGCCACTTCTTGTAGAAGTCTTTGAAGGTGGTACATATATCGTTGGTGGTTGAGCAACACCATCCTTACCTAAATCAGGATTGCCATCAGTGTGTACAACCACATTACTCTTAAATGATGGAATTTTTCCAAAAAGTCGATTGTTCGAGACATCTAGTTTTATAAATGTAACAACTCAGATTTTTTAATTATTCTGTAGAATTTATATTAATATTATTCAATTAAAAAAATATATGATTTATTTTGTATTAATATGTATTATTATAATATAATTTATTAGTCAAAGTATTAATAAGTAAGTTTTGATAAGCTTGACTTAATTTAGATAGACTTGAATTAATGAAGATTAACAGGGGAGCGACACGTGGCTGTTGGCTTGGGGCTCACGAATATAATTTGTACAAGTAGGGAGAAGTTGACTCAGTAAGAGAAAAGAAAGAAGGAAAAAGAAAAGGAAGAGAAAGGAAGAAAGAAAGAAGAGAGGAAAAGAAGGAGAGGAAAGAGAGGAAAAATTAGTGGAAGCTAAGAAGATCTTTGATAGTGGAAAGAAATAGTAAGGTATTAAAGTTAAGGTGAATTATAATATATTTTACTTATGTTTTGACTTACCAAAATCTATTTAATACAAGTTATGTTTTATTAGTATATTAATAAAAGTTATGTTTTATAAAGGTTTCAGTTACGTGGATTATTTTATGAACCCTATTTGCTTAAAAAGAAACCCATAGATATGTTTGTTTTACTTTTAAAGAATATTTGGCTATGACCTTATATGAAAATATGTTTTGTGAATACCACCACGGAAGTCCCATGCCTTGGAGGACTTAAATAACCATTGGCTAGTGTTTGACCACTTTGTGGTCCAGTGTTTGTCATGGATCCATTGACCAGTGTAGTGCTTGGCACTTAGTGATGTACCGTGGTTATGGTTGTATAGTGATTTCCGTATTACATGTTAAATGATCTGAAGTATACGTCAAATGATTTCCGTATTATGTATGTTATGTATGAAGCTCTTTTTGGCCCAACTAATTATCCATGGTGAATTTTATGCCTTATACTCTTAGTATAATATTTCTCACTCTGCCATGAGCTTATAGTTTTTTACCACTTTCAGGTGACATGTCCGGACCAACGTGTGGGGTAGACACAAAGCACTTTTATTGATGTATTTTTTTATGTAAATATCAGCCTTTTTGGTCAATACATTTGTAATAAAAATAGAAACTCCAATGATTATTTTAGTACCCTTATTTAAATATTTCTTCCGCTTGCGTTTATTAATTTGTTTAAAGATTTGGCCGGAGGTAACCTCGGTTACTGGCCATCACGATGCTTAACCCTTGGGTACGGGGAGCGGGTCGTGACAAATGGTATCAGAGCAATGGTTTATTAAAAAAAAATATATATTATTGGAGCATAGGACACATGCACATTTAAGAAGTGCGATATCGGGTAATTAGTACCTAAATATTATATTTAGTTCGTCGATTTAATTATATTATAATTTTCTATGATTTTATATATATATATTAAATTTTTTTTTTTGTGCATAATTTGTGAAGGATATTAGATATAATTTACGAATGAAAAAGAAACAAAAGATGTCAAACACCCACAAAAAAAAAATTATAATATAATTAAATATACATAAATTCTAATTTAGTATTCAAAAAAAAATTTCGACTTTTTAAAAGTGGGTTTCAATTTTAAAAATACTAATTTTGAAATTATTTCCAATCAATGAAAAGTTCATCTCAATTTTTTTTCAACTCTCACATATGATTATGTCATTGTGGTCTCATTCTATTTCCATTTATTTATTTTTATCATGAACAATACGAGTGAAAAGTTTTTAAAGTCATCAATTATTTCTCATTTTTGCCCAAACCAATTTTTAACAACTAGACAGTGTGTTATTTTTGGTAAATTTTTTTTTTTAGGTACTATTTTCTATCAGATTAATCATCTAATATATATATATTTTTCAGAGTGCGCAGCGGATAACTTACACCTATGGCAAATTTCGAGGACGAAATTTTAAAAAGGGGGGAAGATTGTAACAACTCAGATTTTTAATTATTCTGTAGAATTTATACTAATATTATTTAATCTCAGTTCAGAAAATATATAATTTATTATATATTATTATGCAATCAATGAAAAGTTCATCTCAATTTTTTTTCAACTCTCACATATGATTATGTCATTGTGGTCTCATTCTATTTCCATTTATTTATTTTTATCATGAACAATACGAGTGAAAAGTTTTTAAAGTCACCCATTATTTCTCATTTTGGCCCAAACTAATTTTTGACAACTAGACAGTGAGTGGTTTTTGGTAAAGTTTTTTTTTAAGGTACTATTTCTATCAAATTAATCATCTAATACATATTTATCAGAGTGCGCAGCGGATAGTTTGTACATATAACAACTTTCGAGGACGAAATTTTACAAGGAGGAAAGATTGTAACAATTTAGATTTTTAATTATTATGTAGAATTTATACTAATATTATTCAATTAAAAAAATATATGATTTATTTTGTACTAATATGTATTATTATAATATAATTTATTAGTCAAAGTATTAATAAGTAAGTTTTGATAAGCTTGACTTAATTTAGATAGACTTGAATTAATGAAGATTAACAGGGGAGCGACACGTGGCTGTTGGCTTGGGGCTCACGAATATAATTTGTACAAGTAGGGAGAAGTTGACTCAGTAAGAGAAAAGAAAGAAGGAAAAAGAAAAGGAAGAGAAAGGAAGAAAGAAAGAAGAGAGGAAAAGAAAGAGAGGAAAGAGAGGAAAAATTAGTGGAAGCTAAGAAAATCTTTGATAGTGGAAAGAAATAGTAAGGTATTAAAGTTAAGGTGAGTTATATTATACCTTAAGTTACCAAAATGTATTTTGCTTATGTTTTGATTTACCAAAATCTATTTTATACAAGTTATGTTTTGTTAGTATATTTATAAAAGTTATGTTTTATAAAGGTTTTAGTTACGTGGATTATTTTATGAACCCTATTTGCTTAAAAGGAAACCCATGGATATGCTTGTTTTACTTTTAAAGAATATTTGGCTATGACCTTATATGAAAATATGTTTTGTGAATACCACCACGGGAGTCCCATGCCTTGGAGGACTTAAATAACCATTGGCTAGTGTTTGACCACTTTGTGGTCCAGTGTTTATCATGGATCCATTGACTAGTGTAGTGCTTGGCACTTAGTGATGTACCGTGGTTATGGTTGTATAGTGATTTCCGTATTACATGTTAAATGATCTGCAGTATATGTCAAATGATTTCCGTATTATGTATGTTATGTATCAAGCTCTTTTTGGCTCAACTAATTATCCATGGTGAATTTTATGCCTTATACTCCTAGTATAATATTTCTCACTCTGCCATGAGCTTATAGTTTTTTACCACTTTAAGGTGACATGTCAGGACCAGCGTGTGGGGTAGGCACAAAGCACTTTTATTGATGTATTTTTTTTAATGTAAATATCGGCCTTTTTGGTCAATACATTTTGTAATAAAAATAGAAACTCCAATGATTATTTTAGTACCCTTATTTAAATATTTCTTCCACTTGCGTTTATTATTTTGTTTAAAGATTTGGCCGGAGATAACCTCGGTTACTGGCCATCACGATGCTTAACCCTTGGATACAAGGAGCGGGTCGTGACAATAAGGTTAGGCAAAGTTGTAAGCTCGTTTGGGATAGTACCTGTCAAATTATTAGCAAGAATTAGTACCTCCAACGAAAGGACCGATGAAAAGTTTGGAGAAATTGTACCTGCAAGACCCAAATTTAGAAAATTGACAAAAGTAATGTTTTGATTCACACAACTGATCCCAAGCCAGTTGTTGCAAGGATCATTCCCTTTCCATTTCTTTGCGAACACCGTTGGGTAACCAACAGACTCCGCAATTAAAAGCAATGTATTCACCCGGGGATCACAGGCAACTCCAGGATCTAAGAGACAAAAACTGTTGGACCCATTTTCTGTATCTACCGTAACAGAAGAATTAAACTTTGGGGTTGGCCCTTGTAATAGGTTGTTCATTAATCTCACAGCCGTAAGCCTTGGAAGATTCACTAAAGATGTTGGTACCTGACCTATAATGTTGTTGTCCAACATAGCGAAGTTCGTCAGCCAAGTAAACCTTGAAAAGTCTGGAAATTGACCTGAAAAGTTATTAGAATTCAACCACAGTTTGGTCAACTTGGTCATGCTCTGTATCACCACAATTGAACCATTGAGCTTATAAATACTCTTCTGCCCACTCAACCACAATTGTTCGATTGAAGAACCCGGAAAGGTCACCGGCAGGCCGCCCTCAAGGTTGTTGTATCCCAAGTAAAGAGTAGTTAGCTTTGCAACACCAAAATAATCCAGAATTTTCCCAGTGAAGTTGGAGAGAGTGGCTGAGAAAATCTTGAGGCTCGATGCGCTTTGGATACTGTCTGGTATAGGCTGTGCTGAGAAGGGAATGTAGTCGAGGCAAACAGCTTCCAAGGACGTCATGCCGAGGAAGAAATCAGAGGGAATGGAAGAAAAATGGTTGAAACTGAGCAAGAGATTTTGGAGCGAGCTCAACCCCGCCAGATTTGGGAGCCTACTTTTGGAAAAAATGATTTTTTGGTGACTTTAATTAAATATTAAAGTGGGTCCCAACCATCTATTGTGTTGGGTCTAAGTGGGTCTAGATACTTTGCAATGAGATCTTTACACCACAAATAGTATAGCCAAAACCATTGAAAATTGAATGAGAAATTGCCCCATGAAGTTAGCTTCATGAAAGAGTTAATGGGGTTTGTAACTCCTGCCTTTATTGCAGAGGTTAATGGTGCATTAGTGACCAGCCATAAAGGCTGGAGGCTTCTCCTCTCTCCCCTATACATGTATAAATTGAGACCCTCCTATCAAGTCTCCAACACAGAAATTGTTTCTTCGTGGTCTAGAGATACATCAGAGACCCTCCTGTCAAGTCTCAAACACAGAAATTTTTACTTCCATTTCACAAGTCAGTTTGCCTGAAAGTTCCTACAGTGAGAAGTGCTGCCACTGTTTTTGTTCGCTAAGCTAGACAGAGAGTGCTTCTGCCGTAGCTGGTTTTTGACCGTCGTATCCTGGGAGACAGACGCTGGGATTCCTCAAGCACTCGACCCGTGAGACGGCGAAATCTGTTTTAAAAAAACTACTACCGTGCAGGCTTCAGTTTGGTTTCTTTATCATTTTATTGTTTTGTGTATTTCTGTTGGAATTTAGTTGTAATTATCAGTATATATTTTTGGTATATAATTTTGATTTCTTCATAAATGTATTTAATTAATTTCACAATTTGAACAACAAGTTTAAAACAGATTTCTATATATATTTTTTTTCTATGAAATTGATCGAATAGATTTATATAGACACTTGTATAATGTTACTAGGAACTGTTGTGGAATTGCTCCTTATTTCAATGATTGTAAATTATGCAATGTGATTCTCTTATTGTTTAGTTTAATTAGAATGCTCTATCATAATTTGTATACTTAATTGTATTAATCTGATCTTATTTTATGCATATGGTTCATCATTCCCCTTCTATGATTTGCATGAATTTTAAGGTTATAAAACATAATTTATAGATTTTGCAATTTTGACATGCTAATTCTATTTTAGGTTTTAATTTGTTTCATGCTTATTATTTTCTTGACTAGATTACATGATTTAATCTTTAGAATTTTTTGCATGTTAATTATTAAATGGTTATATACTTGAAGTGCTTGGTTATTAGTTTCTTACATATAACCAATTCAAATTATTTACATAAAATGCATGCTACTTATTTGGTTTCATCCTATTTGACTAATGTTGCATATGTATATTTTGGTTTTGCATGCTTTTTAATTGGATGAATTAAAGTTTGAATTAAATGTAGTTCTTTGGAGTTATAAAATTTGTGTAACTTGCCTATATTTATTTACATGGTTATTGTGAATTAAATTCTTATATAATTTATGGCAATTAATTTTTTAATTTAATGTAGAAGTTATAAGGTTTTGTAACTTGTATAGTATCTTAATTCCTTAGTTATTTTGCTATTCTATGATTTGCTAGAAGGTTAAATAATATTTGATTGTATGTACAATTGCTTTATATTATGTTGTCGTTTTCTACTAACTCTCTTTGTAGGCATACCTAAGCGTAGAAAGGAATTGTATGGACTACTTATAATCCTCAATTGGATTGGTTATTTTTCTTTATGTTTGAAGAAATTTTTTACTTGAGATTTAGTTGGTTTGTTTACCAATTTGTAGTAGCAAGTTTTATTTGCTTATATTGTTGTAGCAATTATTTTACATTGCTTGTAAAAGTTTTGGACCTTGGTTTGTTTTAACCTAGTTCATCCCCAAGAAAATTTAATTCTTAAAATTGTTTATCACGGACTAGGAGTCAACATGCTTTTAAAAGTTTTGTCAAAAGGTTAACTGGGTTTCTTGGGAACTTTCTTGACCATGTTCAATTCTAGGTTTTTGTGGTGAGACTAATTTTGAATTAACTTTTCATCTAAAGGATTTTCTAAGGGTTAAGTTTAATTTCTGGAACATAGAAGTGATATTCTGGTGTAATTTTTGAATGGCAACTATCACTGATGCTGCTGCTACTGCTAATGTTGGTGGGGATCTGAACCCTGGGGCACTGGGTTGCCAAGCCCTGCTGTTGTGACCTCTGTGGTCAACCCTGGCGTTACTCCGGCTGTTCCAGGAGGACCGCTTAGTCACCATGAATGCCCAGAAAAGTTTACTGGGGAAAACTTTAAGAGATGGCAGCAGAAGATGCTGTTTTACTTGACCACGCTAAACCTTGCAAATGTTCTGAGCGAGGATCCTCCAGCCGTGGCAGAGAATGAGCCTGACAGGAAGACAGTCATGGCGCTTGACACATGGAAGTAGACAGACTATCTTTACCGAAACTATGTGTTTAACAGCTTGGCAGACTCACTCTATAGTGTGTTTTGTTCCAAGAGCTCAGCAAAAGAGTTATGGGAATCTCTGGACAAAAAGTACAAGACTGAGGATGCCGGGGCAAAGAAATTTGTGGTTGGCCGGTTCCTTGATTTTAAAATGATAGATTCAAAACCTGTGATGAGCCAAGTCCTGGAGTTTCAAGTGATCTTGCATGAAATTCATGTTGAGGGATGCCTTTGAACGAGTCATTCGAAGTTGCTGTGATCATTGAGAAACTTCCCAATGGTTGGAAGGATTTCAAGAACTACTTAAAGCACAAGCGCAAGGAAATGTCAGTTGAAGAGCTGGTTGTCCGACTTCAGATTGAGGAGGATAATAGAAAGAAAGGAGGGAGTACCTTCTCAGTAAAAGCCAATGTCATTGAGCATGGCAAATCTTCTGAGATAAGAAAGAATCCCCTTGTGAACAAGGGCTCTAAGTTGGGGCCTAGAGGTGATGTTGCAAAGAAGCCGGCTTACAAGCCACCGGAACCAAGTTATCGGTTCTTTGGGAAGTGTTATAACTGTGGTAGCAAGGGGCATCGGGCTATGACTGCCGCAAGCAGAAGAAGTCATACAAGACTAAACCTCGTGCTCATATGGCAGATTTACAAGAGCACTCCCATAAGGAGGATGATATGCACTTGTCTACCGTTGTCTCTGAGGTGAATCTGGTGGGTTCAAATCCAAGAGAATGATGGATTGATACAAGGGCTACACGCCACATCTGCTCCGAGAAGGAGTTGTTTACAACTTTCGAACCGGTTACAAACGGTGAGAAGTTGTTTATGGGAAACTCTAGTACCTCATTTGTTGAGGGAAAGGTGGTCTTGATGTTAACCTCAGGAAAAAAGCTAACCTTGAACGAAGTCTTGTATGTTCCGGACTTTCGTAAGAATCTTGTCTCTGGGTCTCTTCTTAGTAAACATGTTTTTGCATGGTTTTTGAGTCTGACAAGGTCGTTTTGACGAAACACAAGTGTGAAACTTGTGTTGAAGCGAAGTGGACAAGACCCCGTATGAGTTATGGAAAGGTGTTAAGCCTTCGTATAAATTCTTACGAATGTGGGTCTGTCTTACAAAAGTGAACCGGTTACAAACGGTGAGAAGTTGTTTATGGGAAACTCTAGTACCTCATTTGTTGAGGGAAAGGTGGTCTTGATGTTAACCTCAGGAAAAAAGCTAACCTTGAACGAAGTCTTGTATGTTCCGGACTTTCGTAAGAATCTTGTCTCTGGGTCTCTTCTTAGTAAACATGTTTTTGCATGGTTTTTGAGTCTGACAAGGTCCTTCTGACGAAACACAAGTGTGAAACTTGTGTTGAAGCGAAGTGGACAAGACCCCGTATGAGTTATGGAAAGGTGTTAAGCCTTTGTATAAATTCTTACGAATGTGGGGCTGTCTTCCAAAAGTGGCAATTCCTACACCCAAACGGGTTAGGATAGGCCCGAAATCCATGGATTGTATATCCATTGGTTATGCACATAATAGTAGTGCATATCGGTTTCTTGTACATAAGTCTGAAATTCCAGACATACACAGGAATACCATCATGGAGTCAAGGAATGCATGTTTCTTTGAAGACATTTTTCCTTGCCAAACCCATGAACGGGTTCCAAGGTCTTTGGAGCAATTTGATGAGCTTGCTAGTGATGATGATCATGTTGATGATCAAGGTGATGATCAAATTGAGGTTTTAGATGAGCCTAGAAGGAGTAAAAGGGCTGGGATATCCAAATATTTTGGTCCAAACTTCTTGACTTATATGGTTGAGAATGAACCTCAAACTTTTCACGAAGTGTGACTTCTCCTGAGAGTCCTTTATGGAAAGAAGCAATCAAAAGTGAGATTGACTCCATCTTACAGAACCACACCTAGGAGTTGGTAGATTTACCTCCAGGTCGCAAGCCTTTAGGCTGCAAATGGATTTTTAAAAGAAAGATGAAGGCCGATGGGTTAATTGACAAGTATAAGGCGAGGCTCGTTATCAAAGGGTACAGGCAACGAAAAGGCCTAGATTACTTTGATACGTACTCACGTGTAACTAGGATAACATCCATTCGCATGGTGATTGCGATAGCAGCATTGCGTAATCTAGAAATACACCAGATGGATGTAAAGACAACTTTCTTAAATGAGGATTTGAATGAAGAAATCTACATGGAGCAACCTGAAGGGTTTTCAGCTCCAAGGAAAAGCAAGAAGGTCTGTAAACTTGTCAAATCTTTGTATGGTTTGAAGCAAGTGCCTAAACAATGGCATGAGAAGTTTGACAACGTAATGTTGTCAAATGGGTTTAGAATCAACAAATGTGACAAGTGTATTTTTGTTAAAGACACTGACAGAGGTTATGTCATTTTGTGTCTATATGTTGATGATATGCTCATTATAGGTAGTAACGATGAAATGATCAAAACTACCAAGAAGTTGTTAAACTCTAAGTTTGACATGAAGGATATGGGCATTGCAGATGTTATTTTGGGAATTAAGATTACCAGAATCTCTAGCGGAATTGTACTATCTCAGTCTCATTATGTTGATAAGATACTTGAGAAGTTTAGTGGATCAGATACGAGTGTGTCATCGACACCTGTAGACTTAAGTCTACATTTTACCAAGAATAGTAAAGAAAGTGTCTCTCAGTTAGAATATTCTCGGGTAATTGGAAGTTTAATGTATCTGATGAGTTGTACTAGTCCGGATATAGCTTACTCGGTTAGTAGGCTTAGTAGATACACAAGTAATCCTGATGCTTCTCATTAGAAGGGCATTGTGCGGGTGTTAAGGTATTTACGCTACACTCGGGATTATGAGCTGCATTATACTCAATATCCAGTGGTGCTTGAAAGCTATAGTGATGCAAATTGGATATTAGATATAAAGGACTCAAAGTCCACTAGTGGATATGTGTTCACTCTTGGTGGGGCAGCCGTGTCTTGGAAATCTTCCAAGCAAACGTGTATATCTAGATCAATGATGGAATTAGAGTTTATTGCTTTAGATAAAGCAACAGAAGAAGCTGAATGGCTACGCCATTTCTTTGAAGATATTCCACGTTGGTCTAAACCTGTGCCAGCTATTTGTATTCATTGTGATAGTCAATCTGTAATTGGTAGGGCACAGAGTAATGTGTATAATGGAAAGTCTAGACATATTCGTCGTAGACATAATTCCATACGACAACTACTCTCGAATGGAGTTGTCTCTATAGACTATGTAAAGTCTAAGGACAACATTGCGGATCCGCTAACCAAAGGGTTAAATTGAGTGTTAGTCGAAACGTCATCAAAAGGAATGGGGTTAAGGCCTTCGGAAATTACCGGAATGGAAACCCAACCTAGTTGACTGGAGATCCCAAGATCTAGGTTCAATGGGACAACCTAATTGCGTGTAATGGTGGTATGTCACTAAGGAGGTTAAACCTCCAGCCATTCCTTCTATCAGTGATACCTGCAAGTGTAGAGGTTAAGCTGAGCTTTAAATGACTCTAGTGTGTTAAGTTGTTGAGCTGAGTATAGCAGGATACTCAAGTTGAGTCACCTATGTGAGTTTGAAGTGGGGCCGCTTCTAGAAGAATTGGGCAGGCCAAGATTCTTTGAAACCACTCGTTGAGCCAGGCTAGTGCCCAGGGCCACACAGGGCACACCAGTGAGAACAGAATGGTGGTAGGAGTAATTCCCGTGTGAGATCTATTGTCTCAGTTTACATAAACGGCAGAGCAGTTCAAGATGTCTTATTCACTGATCAGCAAGTAAACTCGATAGGTTTTCACTGGGAGAGGTTCAAAGCCAAAAGCTACCTTCTCTGATGTCGAGGTTAGTTCGTTGCACTCTCACTTCGAGTCATTATTGTTGAACGATGTCCGTTTGTTGAGTCTTTCGGTCAATTTTTATTCATGTGGGGGATTATTGGAAAAAATGATTTTCTGGTGACTTTAATTAAATATTAGAGTGGGTCCCAACCATCTATTGTGTTGGGTCCAAGTGGGTCTAGATACTTTGCAATGAGATCTTTACACCACAAATAGTGTAGCCAAAACCATTGAAAATTAAATGAGAAATTGCCCCATGAAGTTAGCTTCATGAAAGAGTTAATGGGGTTTGTAACTCCTGCCTTTATTGCAGAGGTTAATGGTGCATTAATGACCAGCCATAAAGGCTCGAGGCTTCTCCTCTCTCCCCTATACATGTATAAATTGAGACCCTCCTATCAAGTCTCAAACACAGAAATTGTTTCTTCCATTCTTTAGTCAGTTTGCCAGAAAGTTCCTACTGTGAGAGAGTGCTGACACTGTTTTTGTTCACTAAGCTAGACAGAGAGTGCTTCTGCCGTAGCTTGTTTTTGACCGTCGTATCCTGGGAGACAGACGCCGGGATTCCTCAAGCACTCGACCCGTGAGGCGGCAAAATCTGTTTTAAGGAAACTACTACCGTGCAGGCTTCGGTTTGGTGTCTTTGTCGTTTTATTGTTTTGTGTATTTCTGTTGAAATTTAGTTGTAATTATCAGTATATGGTTTTGGTATATAATTTTGATTTCTTCATAAATCTATTTAATTAATTTCCCAATTTGAACGCCAAGATTGTTGGACATGAGATCGAGTGTTTGTAAGGCGGTGAGGTTAGCAAGGCTCGGAGGGAGAAACCCTGTGAGGTTTAGATGCCTGATTTGGATCTGGGTGACCCGATTGTCATTGGAACATGCCACATATTTCCATTTGCAGTGGTCCTGATCTGTCCAACCGAGTGAACCCGATGGGTTAAGACTCTTTTTCAGATCCGGCCTTATAAAAGCGTCGATTGAAGTGGACTGACCATGACCTATGACGAAGAGTGAGAGCATTGAGAGAGTGAACAGGCCGAAAAACCAAGAACGAATATGGGTAATCTCCATTTTCTCGAGAAAATCTGCGGGAAAAAGGAAGAAAAAACTTGCATGATTAAAATAGTAAAATTGAAGATTCCACTCCAAGAGAGAGTGCGAAAGTTTCAGAGAGGTTTATGGAACTATTGTTTGAAATCATCGCGCCGTCAATTGCTGACTAATTATTCCACCACCAAGCATCTTTTTTTTTTTGTCTTGAATTCTCACACTATAGCATGATCAGATAATATTTTCATCTAAATGAAGAACTTGATCATCAACAAGGAAAAGCATACAACAGACTTGAAAATAAAATAAATAAAATATGAGAAATTCTATAATACACACTCCAGGAGTATGCCCAAAAGTATCCCTAGAAGTATCCCTAGTTACCATGTTGGTATTTAATTATGACTTATTCTGATGTTATCTATGCTTTGATTATAATTCAGTTTTAGACATTATTGTTATGTTAATTATGATGTTAGTTATGACATTATTTTGGTTACGATCCAAAAATTATTTAGTTATACCTTATCTGGTGTTTGATTATGATTAAAATAAATAAATAAATAAATAAATATGGCATTTGTGATATATATCATTACTTGCATATTGAGGGTGTATACCATAACATGTTATTTTAATTAGAGACTTACGTAATATGTGGACTTATTGTTTAATAGGTCCTATAATAATTAATGGCGTTTTCATCAAACATTATTAAACAATGTCACTAATTGTAAATTTTCAGTGACAGATTAAAAATTGTATCATAAAAAATGTCACTAATTTTCAACTTTTAGTGACAGTTTAAAAAATTTGTCACAAAAAAAAAAAAAATCACTAATTGTACGTTTTACCAACAATTTATAAAAATAAACTTTATTGATAATAAAATTTGATTACATTAATAAAGAAAGAGATTAAAGAAGATGCGTGCAAAAAGTATCAAAGTAAACAGAAGGATCTCAACTAGGTTGGCACCGAACAGCACGCCCAATCATATGCTAGCACACCAATAGGTTGATGAGAAACCAGCCTACAACTCCAAAAAACAACCCAAATACTACTACTACTACTCCAAAGAAAAATCCCACAACCTAAGCAACAGCCCCAGCATCAGCGACAAAGTAACCAGAAGAATAGCAAATCAGTAACAAATTCAATCAAAGTTGTCGCAGCAGTTCACCTCATTCACTAGAACATTCATAAAACCAAATCAAACAAAACTAGCAGTAAAGACAACTTAGCCAAATCAGAAGCATAACAACCAACAACAAAGAAACCCAATAGAACAAAGCAGTAGTTCACCTCATACACCAGAACATTCATAAAACTAGACCAAACAGAGTGAACCAACATCCAAACATAGCAAAGAAGCATCATAGGTAGCCTCCAAACAAGCTTGAACAATCACCAACCACCTCCAAACCTCAGAGGTTTTGACTCACCCAATTTATATTTGAGACAATCTTTTGAATGGAGTAGAAGCACCCCATATTATAAGACTTCAACCACCTTGCCACTCTAACTTTTATTAACTCACACAATTCATCAATAACAGGTTGAGTATTATTAAAGATACAGTCATTTCTGTACTTCCACAAAGACCAAACAAACGAAATCAAGGCAACTCTCCAAACTTGCTTGTCTTTCTTCCTAAACTTCCACCCTAACCACCATTGCATGAAATCTTCGAAAGATCCTTGTATCACCCATTGCATTCCTCACCAGTCCATGATTTTTGACCAAACATGCCACACAAAAGAACAATTCAAAAGAAGGTGAGTGTAGGTTTCCACCTCAACTTTGCATAACACACAAGACAACAATTCAGAACCTGTCAAAACTCCAATTCTACTAAGGAATGAAAAGGTTTTCAGCCTACCCCTCCATGTAAGCCAAGTAATGAATTTCGCCTTAGGAGGAGCAAAGTTATTCCAAATCAAATCAGGTAAGCTATGAACAGGTCCATAGCTTTGTTTGCACCAGTTATACACAACTCCAACTTGAAATACCCCTGATTGTTGAGCCTTCCATCTGGTTAAATCCTTTTGATTCAAATATAGACAAGTCCCTTCTCCCAACATACTTTGCAACCTGATCACTTCATCTTCTTCCCACCAAAACAGGGGCCTTTTAAAATTAAAACACCATGTGTTGGTGCTGTCTCTACAAGAAAGCTGCGAGTTCAGGGTGATCTCTTTATCTAAATTCAACTGGTGCAGCCTAGGAAACTAGGATTTAAGACTTGATGATCCCAACCAAACATCATCCCAAAGCTTTACCCTATTCCCATCACCAATCCTAAGCTCCACATTTTCTATAAAGAAGTTATAAAGCCTAGGATTTACCTGTGCTACAACAAGAATTTCCCTCCAGATAATAGAAATAGAACCAGAAGCATTCAATAAAGGAAACCAACGACCCCCCGATACACCATATTTGGCACATGTCACAGATTTCCACAAAGTCTCATCCTCCAAGGCATATTTCTACCACCACTTGAGTAACAAGCACTGATTAGTCACTTTGAGATCTTTGATTCGAATCCCTCCTTGGTTCTTATTCAGCTGCACCTCTTTCCATTTTACTAAATGGACTTTCCGTTTAGATTCATCTCCTCCTCATAAAAACTTGGCTTGAATCTTATCGATTTCTTTAGCAACACACTCAGGTATCTTAAACAAAGGCATATAATAAATAGTTAAGGAAGATAAAACATATTTAATAAGAGTGACTCTTCCGGCATAAGAGAGCATCCGTCGCTTCTAACTAGATAATTTCTTTTTAAACCTGTCGACCACTGGCTGCCATGTTTGTTTCCTACCTGGGTTGGCTCCAAGTGGCAACCCAAGATACTTTAGTGCAAGCTTATGACTCATACAATTCAGATGGGATACAAATTCTTCCACCAACCCATTTTCAACTCCCACACCACAAATCATACTTTTATGGAAGTTTATCATCAATCCCGAGACCACTTTAAAGTATCTCAAAATGCGTTTGACAGCCACAATCTCAGTCCAGTCAGCCTCACAAAAGATAATAGTGTCATCAGCGTACTGTAGATGAGATATAATAACCACAGGTTCGTGGAATAACCACCTCTGATTTTGGTAGGTGGGATGAGGTAATGTATGTGTTAGGGTTGAAGGTGGGCGGTAGTGTATGGATGTGGTTAATGTTTCTGGGCAGGGGAACTTGGTTGTGTGCAAGAAGTGGATTGGTTGTTACACTTGGTTTGGAGGGTGGGGCAATGACTTTGTTGTCAATGAGATCTTGGATCTCATGACGTAAACGGTAGCACAGGTCCATGGGATGGCCATGTTGTTGATGGAAGATGCAATACTAGGTAGGGTCATGTTTAGGTGGCAATGGGTCCGGAAGAGGAGGAGGATCAAGAGGCTTGAGATGCCCCTTTTCCATTAATAGTTTGAGGCCGCGGGCTGGGCTTAAATAGGGGGGAGTAAAAACTCTTCAGTTCTGAGGTGGGCCAGTGTTTTGTGAAGGTTGTGAGGTTGTGGCAGTAGCAAAGGGATCAACCATCTTGGCCGTTGAAACAACAGTACTGACATTTGCAGGCCGTGGAATAGTACTATTGCTCGCATTGGTATTCTGAGAGAATGGCCTTCTGCCAGGTTCACTTGTTCTGTGGATGATACCATTTTTTAATACACTCTCAATCTGGACCCCCAACTCATGTAAGAAAGCAAAGGTGGGTAATGGTGCCACTATCATCCTTTGCAGCATATCTGGTTCAAGATTCTGGACCACCAGTCAGACTTGTTCTCTTTCAGCAGGTCTATTTGTCATTCGGGTTGCTTTGGCTCTCCGTCGGGTGACAAAATCAGTAGTAGCCTCCAGCTCGCTAATGGTTACCTTTATCTGAGTGTTATATGAATATTGGTTGACAAATGCCTCGGATAACTCCTCACAATTCCGCTTTGTTGAGTCTTCTAACTTAGCGAACTAGATGGCCACCACATCAGACAAGGTTCTCCCAAACAGTGATAGTTTCTGAGCCCTAGACAAGCCCATCGACTTTAGTACATTTGAAAACAAGCGGACGTGCACAATCGAATCCCCACTTCCATCGAATTTGTCGATGTGGGGCATCTTAAATTTCTCTAGTAATTTGACCAAAGCCTCAATGTACCTGTCTTCGATATCCAAAATGGAGTTGAAGCCCTGGGATTTTTTCAATGATTTCTCCAATCTAGCAATCTTGACCAAGGCTGGATCAATTTCATTGATATCAAAAGGAAAGATTCCTAAGGGGGGTTGAACCAGAGGCCTATAAGTTGGAGCCGGGGGAAATATTTCCTGAAGATTTGGGATTTGGGGATTTTCTACTGGTGGGGGTAGATCCGAGTTTGGCTAAGCAGCTGGGATTAGATGCACGGTTGATGCTGATGCCCCAGATGTACGTTGTAGATCAGTGATAATTTCATCCTGTGCAGCGATCCTTTGGTTTACAGTATCCATGGTTATCTGGAAAGCTGCCATCATGACAGCAAATTCCTCTACGTTCTGTGCTATATTCTGTGCCATTGCTAGTCTAGTGAACTGATTGAGTGAGAACGAATAGGTGTTTGCAAAGTGCTTTGTACTGGTGCCGCTGACTGTCTGTTATTTCTTCATCGAGTAACCAGCGGAAGTGAGACTAACATTGGTTGGCCACTAACAAGGTCTTGAGCTTTGCAAAGCCTGGCAAAACGAGTTCACACAACTTGGGAAATATCGGGTCTTTCAGAAGCTATGATGGTAAACTACCTAACAAAAAGAAAGAAAAAAACATAATCAAAATCGGACAACACTTCGGCTCCAATTCATAACAGTCATAACACAACTGAACTGTAATTCCCACTGAACTCTGTTCTCAACTGCGGCTCATCTGTACTGATACGAACTATCCTGTACAGTTTCACTGTAAAAGCACATAGCAGGTAAAAGAACCAAAACACCTCTATGTGAGGTAGGGTTACCCTGTCCTAGATTTTTGACAGGATCTAGGCTGCACTACTTCAAACAACGAGTTTCACAACATCTTGTAAATGGGTGGCATCCTGTCCTAAGTTCGAATAGTCGCTATAGCTTCACTATATGCAACTAGGTCAAATGGTCCAAAAGGGTACCTCGGTAAGATTACCTAATATACCTCTCATACCTAACATCAAGAAGTGAAAGGCGGATCAAGCGGTATAGCAATAATCCAGATCCAAGGGTTATGTTTCCAACATGGCAGAGCCCATGACTGGTCATCCTTTTGGCAAGCTTTTTGGGCAAGCCTTAGGCAAACTGCCCAGGAATAGCAGATGGAAAACATAGTGACTTAAGGGAACCATGCAAATGCAATGCAAAGAACATATAAGTGTAGATAAAATTTCACATCATGACTTTCAAGTCAAGTTCTCTAAATCCCCAGCAGAGTCGCCAGAAACTGTAGCTTGCTTTTCGTGCTTCTTTCGGATACGACTAGCCCTACAATTTGGACTCCCGTGGTTCTAAATCTGATTTCACAAGTGCAATGTGAAATAGTGAAAACACAAAAAGAGTCTAAATTTGGCAATTCTTTTTGGAAAATCGATGTTTGAATCAAATGCCAAAAATGGACAGCTTTGCCAGATTACAGAGTTGCCACCTAAATATATATATATATATATATGGGAAAATTTAGGAAACCTGTGACTCGTGCCAAAGGCCACTTATTTGTCATTACCAAAGTGTCTCAGCTCGGGAACCTAGGCACGAGAGGGGAAGGTCATGAATTGAGCACCCCACTCGCCCGATCAAAGATCGGCCTCTACTAATCATGATGTGATTGTTCCAGTTTTATTAGACTAACATTACTATGTAACGCACATAAGTATAGACTAATTTGCAAAGATTGGAACATTTGATTTCATATTTGTTTGAAAATTGTTTTTGATACTCGTCACTTAAAAAGGTGAGTTTGTACATTAATCAATTTGTCCCAATTTTGGCAATTAGCCTCCATCCACAAGTATTCACACAGGTATATCATTTAAGCAATTATCCTCATGGAAATATTCTTGGCATGGCAATACAAACATTCGAGGCAAGATGCTAAAACTCAAAATTGCTCACCTAGTACTCCGAGCCAAAACAAAGCAAAATAATTAGAAAATATGCATGCTCCTAACTAATGCAATATGACCAAATGCAACGCACACGTTATGTATTTTTAATAGGCTCGACTATGAACATGGCATATGATTCCATTCAAAGCATGCAATAAAGTATGTATTCAAGCAATGAATTCGAATTGACATTGGGTTAGTATGATGAGCCGAACCTTTGATGCATGCAAGACAATGGATGCAAAGCATAAAGATGCTAATTTGAAAAATGATGTTTTATACTAACCATCATAAGCAAATAAGTAAAAGGGAGAAAGATGTGGGGTTGGAAAACATACATGTTATTATATATTGGCCCTTGCACAAGAGGGTCCGAATAAGTGTCTGAATGTCCGAATAAACTAACTATTACAAATCCGAATGAATTAATTAAAGAATTAACTAGCTAGCTACTCTATTACAACAAGGATACTAATGAGAAATAAACTAGCTATCTAAGTTAACTAGTTATAACAATTACAAACAAACAATAGTGATAATTACAACAATAATTACAACAAGACTAATTTGTAACAATAATAATTAACGATAACAATAATAATTAATTACAACAATACTCAGAGCATTAATTTACAACATTGATGTAAGCAAAGATGCACAGAAGGTTGCATGCACAATGTCCATAAACTATTCTGTCTGCCTAGGCCTGCTCTGTTTCACTTTCAGCCACTGCACTCTGTTTTCTGCAAAACATACTGGTGACCAAACCTTGATGGCCGACTGGCCCCCAATGAAGCTTGGCCGAGCCCAAATAAGGCTGGCCGGGCCTTTATACAAAATCCTGTTTTTGTGCTCTGAAGTGAAAACAGTGCAGGAAGAGTTATTCTGAACTATGTTTGTCCCTTCTACTCTTCTCTCTCATGGTAAGCCTCAAGAGAAGAATGAAGTCGTTTCCAAAATCATCAATGGGAAAATTGATTGCTTGATGAGTTAGGGCATGATTTTGGACAAAAATTAATGAATGCGATGAATCAATAACTACCCCTCCCTCCTATCATGGAGTAAGCTCAATAAGAGAGGTAGAAATGCTTCAAGGCTCATCGAAACATCATGAATTGATGGATGACAACCCTTGACACAACAGACTCGGCATAACGTCTGGTCGAATCCAAGCAATATGAATCATTTTCTTTATGTGGGTTGGTTCATTTTAAATCAATTTTTAGAGTTTTCCATTCTTCAGTCCATTAAGTCCAAGGTAATGATTACATCCACTAAATGAGAAGCGTGTCAAACGGGAAGTGATTCTCAACATGAAAGAGAGACTATGTCGTTAGGGATGAACCTCCGTAGAGATTAAGCCATTAAGCATAAATCTCACGTCCATGTTTTGAACAACCATTAACTGGTTGAAACAACTCTCCAGTTAAAGAAATAGATGATAGATTGCTTGTTAAAATGTGGCATCTTAACATGGAAATTACTTAAAGAAAAGCTAGAACAGTATGCAATAAGCTATGTATGCGCACATATGAGACAACAAGAAAACTAATCAAAGCATGAATTAATTAAACAACCTAGGACAGTGCTAAAACAACATTTAATAGGTAAAAAATAGTGGCTCAAAGTGCATGAAAAGAGCCCAAAAAGCTAAACAACAGGCAAAGACAACAAGGCTAGTAAGCAAGAACAAGGAAGGGTGGCTAACCCCTCTACTTTTGAAACCTTAAAGGATGATTTTTAGCCTCTTTTAAACTCCAAAAATCAATTTAGAAAGCAAAGAAAAAGGGTGTAAAACTAGGGTTTGAGCTATAGGTGAAGGTGTAAGCAAGAGTGTGAACTCTCTCTACCCTTTGGTAGCTTTCCAAACCCAAGCTTAGACACTTGAAACAGGATCAAAACAATACAAAAATACAAGAACTTGATAGTAAATGATAAAAATGAAAGCAAGAGAGAAAAAGTAAGCTTGTACCTCTTGAAAAAGGTAAGTTCTTTGTTTTTGAATCAAACTAAGTCCAAACACACTCTCAAGCTCGAATTGTGATGCTCAAGGCTCAACCAAGGTTTCAAGGCTCAGGTGTGAAGGTGTATATGGGTGGTAAGCTTGCTCAAAGGTTGCTTGCACTAGAAGAAAGAGCTCTCAAGAAGGTGTATAAGCTTTTTAGAAAATTTTCAACTCTCAAAACAGAGATATAACTTCGTTTTTATAGAATTTGAGCAAAGGAGGTTGTAAATATCTTAAAAAATGGACAGCTGCGGGCTCCCACCCAGAACAGTGTTTCTTGCTACCACGGCACGACCGACCATAAATAGCCACGACCGGCCCTCAATGAGACATGGCCAGGCCTCAATGTGATCCCCTGTCTCTCTATTTCAGACTTAGCAAAGGGTGGCACAATGCGTAAAAATGGATTTCTAGGGTACAAACAGTGGGAATATGGATGGTTTGGGATTGTTTCGAAGCTTAAACGTAGTACCTTCATTGAGACCTCAAACCACGTACAACACTACTTTCATCATCGAGTGTACCGGGCAAAGAACTCGAGCCTTGTGGGTGGTCAAAAATAGGATGTCTACAGTTGCCCCTCTTTGACAGAACTCGAAGTCATAAAATGACGTGAGTGAAAGTGAAAGCCCAAAGATGACCCGTTTGACAAGGCCGCAAGACTTGGGCATGAAATCAGGACATAAGTGCAAAGATTGAACTTAAAGGCAAAAATGCAAAGACAAAATGCAGCAAATAACTTATGATCATGCAATGAAACATCAATGAAACAATGCAATGAAACATTTGAATGTAAATAACGAGTGATGAAACAAAGCCACAATCTAAGCAAGAATGTGATAATGAACGAAAGCGTAAATTAGAGCAAAATAAACCCCACAATGTCTCACACGAAAAGGAGTGAATAAATGGACACGTCTCACGTAAAAAGGACAAAGAAAGCACAAACCAAACTACGTCTCACGTAGAAATGATGTAAGGGACAAAAAAAAAAGCAACCTAACTAAGCCTTGCGTAGGAAGAGTGAAGGGTGAAATAACCATCAAGCGCACCTGAGGTTTTCAACTGAGATCCTAATGCGTCTGACGCGAGAAGAGGAAAGGTGGTGTGAACAAATAGGCACACCTGTTGTTTTTAACCAAGGTAAACAATCCTAACGCGTCACACGCAAGAGGAAGAAAGGTGGCGCGAACAAATAGGCGCACCTGTTGTTTTTTAACCAAGGTAAACAATCCTAACGCATCGCATGCGAGAGGAGGAAAAATGTCTAATGTTTTTAACCGAGGCAAACAATCCTCAGGCGTCGTACGCGAGAGGAAGAAATGTGGTGTGAACAAATAGGCACACCTGTTGTTTTTAACTAGGGTAAGACGTAAAATCAAAACGACCAAAGCAACGTAGTAAAGTGAAAGTCAATTTGCCAATGTGTTGAAAATGGGTTTTTG